GCATTTTTTTTACTAAATGCACTACTTGAGTATCTTACTCAATTGTTGAATTTGGGTTCTTATATTAAGACTTGATTAGGAATAAGACCAATTTAGGCCTGATTAGTGGGGGGCACTAAACATTTCGCTATTGTTATGTTTGGTTTGATAGGAAATAAGAGGGAAATAGTAAGTTGAGGGAAGTTCTTAAGGATGAATTTGGAAGGAGTATAAATGTAAATATGTAGAGTGCAAAACCTTATATTTTGTATGTATTTATACTGTACATATTTGTATTTATACTCTTTCCAACTGAGCCTACGGAATTTCACAAAAAAGGGAAATAAGTGCATTATATTCGTTTTTCCCGTTTCAAATTTGTATATAATAAAGTCTAAAATTTAGTACTTTTCTGCGAGTACTAACAGTCTATTCTCAATTTCTCATACACCACAGAAATTACAAACAAAATTTCATGGGTTTGGGGACCCAAAATTCTCTCTCTCCAGTCGAATATATTGCCAATGTACTTTAAATGAGACCCTCTTACTAGTAAATATCGTTTAACAGAATTATTTCATTCTAAAAAGAGCCTTACATAATAAACAGATTACAAATAGAAAAATTGGGAAAAAAAAGAATAAATTTTTCTTTATTTTTTGTTGAAAATTTGTATTTTCGTACTAAAACTTAGTGAAAAAAAATGTCCCCGATAATGTTGAGAATGACATAATATTACTTGACTATTTTCCTTTAGTTTCCAAGCAAATAGGATTTTTGGTTAGTGGAATGGTAGAATTTAAAGCTAACAAGCATGAGAAAATGAGAGAGAGAGATTCTTTGCTCTATTGTTTTGCAAGCAAAGCAGCATGTCCAGTCCTAGAAATGGTGAATGTCAAAGGCAATACTTGATTGCTTGCCAACCGATTAAGACAATACTAAATGCTCCAGGAATATAATTTTGAAACCATCTCACCGAAGAACCACTTTATGTCGGTGGTCTGAATGAGCTACTTAAGCTCACAGTATAGCCTCGAATGTGCAGTCAGGAAAAATCTTGTGTGCAGCCCAGCCAAAATTGTTCATTTGTGGAGCCCACTGCATTAATTAGAATGGTTTTGAACATCATACACATTTATGTCTCGGGCAATGTTTTAAAAACCAGGGCCGGATCAGGTGGCTGAATCAAAGAAACTGAAAATTGGTGGTGGTTCGGATTATGGGTGTCAATGGACCGGTTTTGACCCGTCCAATTTAAAATCAATTTTGACGGATCAACAAGATATATTGGATTGGGCTAATCTAGTCCAAAATATTTATTAGATTGGATATGACCTGGTCTATCCGTAATAAATTTATATTATATTGAGTTGGATTAAGTGAATATCTGATTTATTGATATAGATCGAATCAACCCCCCACAAGACTGCCCCTCACAACGTCCCACAATACATCCCCAGCTCCATGCTGTGTATTGGGAACATCTCTCAATGGTGACATCATCATTTCTGGTATCATCATCAGGAGATGTTCTCAATACATGATGGGAATGTACTTTGGGACGTTGTGGGAGGCTGATTTGAACTCCCATTGATATAAGAGAAGAATATAGGTGTCAATGAGGTTAGGTTTGGATTGAAACTAATCTAAATTAAAAAGAAAAAATTGAACAGATTGGACAGTTCAGACATTGAATTGGTCCGGGCCAAAATAGTCCAAAATATTCATTGGAATGGATTGGACCTGGTCCATTTGTAATGAACTCACATTATACTGGATCGGGATTGGACCAAGTCCAGTCCAATTGACACCCCTAAAATTTCAGACTGAATAAACCACCGGCTTAAACAGAATAACCGGAAATTACCCAGCTTTCCAATTTGACATCTGGTTTGGTTTTGAGAACAGTTGTAATTGTATCGAGTACAGAAGACGGTAATGGGGACCTGTATTACCTTAACTACTTCCATCAAAGTTAAGTTTAATAGCTCCATCATATGGTGGGAATCAGGAAGGCCTAACATCCTCCCTCCATTCTTTCATCAGTTCACCTCCTGAAATGTCTTTAAAGAGGTTTGTCTTCATCCAATTAATCACCCTAATGGTTGGTAATGGCTTCAATAATCACATCCAGCTTTCTTTATCCAAAAAAATTCTTTGGTACTCTCCTCCCAAATTGTCCAGCAAACTATAGTTCTTGTACACCTCCACAATATTATTCCCCTCTTCTTTGACCAACTTATAAAAGTAAGAGCAAACAGACTTTGTACATTAAGTGGAGGGTTCCATCTACACTAAACCAATCCCAAATTGAAAAAAAAAGGGCAAGATATTGATAAGTAATTTCACCATTAACCTAGCAAAGAGAGCACCAATGTGGGGAAAGGCACCAAGTAGGCATAGGATTAATTTTTTCCAAATACACTTCCCAACAAAAACCACCTAGGCAGCATAGGATTACTCCAAACTTCTTTTACTGGAAAAGATAATCCATGACTATCACTCGGCTGAGTCAAAGATGAGAAAAATGAAGCACGGGTAGGGTAAAGGTATACCATAGGGAGAGGGGGTCCAAACCCTCTTATCCCTTTTTGTAGTATCCAAGCACACCCCTCCAAGACCTTAAAGTAGGTTCAAAACATAAGGAATCAAGCTCACGTAACCCTCTTTGAAACCCCCAAATCCCAATCAATACCAGTTTATGAATTAGATGGGACCATAAAACAGGAAATAGGCTCCTCCCTACCATTGGAGATGCAAAAACGAGATAGAAAATTTTCCTTTAATGGTAAATTGCCCACCCAAACATTCTCCCAAAACTTGACATAGAGTACTAGAATCTGGGTTATATCTGATGAATGATAAGAATAAGAGAAGGATATCACAAATGGACATAGGAGAATACTAATAGTTACCTTTGCCCACAATTTGTCAACTTCCACAACCACTTTGTTTTTGTTTCTTTTCTTTTCAAGTTTATAATTCATTTTTTATTTGTGAACTTACTCAACTGCAATACTTAAAATTTTGCAGACTTGCATTTTTTTTTTCTTTTTCATCTGCAAAATACAGGGAATGCTAGTGCAATTTGAGCTCTAATTTTACTAACTCAATTATGCCTTTACTTTTATTGTTATTGTTGTTTAGGCTTAGTTTAGAAGGAGTACAAATACAAATATGTACAGTACAGATACATACAAAATAATACAAAATGTAAGGTTTTGCACTCTACATATTTGTATTTGTACTCCTTCCAAACTGAGCCTTACAGTTATTGTTCATTTACATTTCCAACAATATTTACTTTTCTACAGTTAGTTTTGATAGCCGGTCCATATCACAACTATCTGAAGTAGTAGGCTAATTTCTCTGCTACTTACTTGTTAGTGGCTAGTCCTCTCTCTCTTTAACTGCTAAGACACATACCACCAAGTGCAGTTGTCATTTACATTTAGTGTTTATTTACGTTAAGTTATTGCTTTTATTTTCTACAATTATTTACATTTGTTGTTCTTATTCTATATTAACTGTAGACCACTAACCTATAACCTTATTCTATATTAACTGTAGACCACTAACCTATAAAAGGTTACAGTTCTTAACTGATTAATTTATTTTCAGCCACTATCTTCTTGTTAACATTCTTTATTATTGTTGTGCTTCATTGTTAACTGCTAACCCCTGTAGCTCTTGCTATATTACTAGTTTATGTGTTATAGTTATAGGTTTATTAGTTCAATAATTTGGTCAATTCAAGTGCATTATTTTGAGTAACTGTTAAACCTAATTGACCAAACCTTCCAGAACTTGATTGCCAAGAGTATAAATTCAGATCAACTCTAAGACAATCAGAGTTTTTAGAGCTCTACCCAATTCACCCACCTCTTGGGTAAGGCCATTGATCCCAATAGGACCATCTCAGCTAAAATGAAAAAAGATTTCAAAAAGTGATTTTTTATTTTGTTTTTTGAAACTTAAATTCTAAAATTATGACTTCACTTGTTTAAAATATTCTAACTTTTATTTTCTTATTTGCATATTTAGGCAAAGAAAATGGACTAATGGAATTAATAGATGAGGATGAAAAGTCATTGATAAATGAGAAATTATCAAATGATAAAGACGATCAATTTCATGGATGAATCTTCAAATAATATTGATGAAGATGCATTTAAGGACTAAACGACTTATTGTGATTTGATATTTTATTAGCATGAGATAAAATATTATATTAGTATGGAGTATCAGAGTATGGATATTTTGATTTAATATTAGAACTATGCTTTGTAATTTGCAATGGATATTTTAAACGCTTATAAAGTATTTTGTTTTTTTACAGCAATTTGCATTTTTGAACTTCAATGATTCATATTTTGATATTTGACTATTGGATTGCGACAGGTGTTTTCTCTAAATAGCTAAGATATGCTCATTTGATCTCATCTTCTTTTTTTAATTTTTTTCTATAGTATAAAATTTGTATTGTAATATCAAATTCTATATAGTAGTTGTTAGGTGCTCATTATTTTGATTATAGCATTGTTATTTTAGTGTTTAGATCTCATAAGAATAATCTTGAAAGGATTTGAACATACAATTAGCATTTATTAGACCATTATACATTAAATAAGTCATGTATAATTACATAAAATATACAATTATTTGTTTTTTTCATGTTTTTTATTATTTATGAACTATGCCCATAATTTTTAATTTTTTTATTTGAGGCTTACGCCTCACCTTTTTGGCAGCCAACCACCCCGCATCTGCCTTTTAAAATCTTGACTAAACTACATATGTATTTCTCCAGCAAGTTAACCTAACGCTATGTTTGGTTTGATGGAAAAGGTAGGGAAAAGTAGGGAAACTCACAAGGTTTCTAAAGGTTTTTTTTTTTTTGATAAATAAGATTTGTAAAGGTTTTCCTACTTTTTCCTTAAGCGTACTTTCCAAGACAAAAAATGGAATGAAGTAAATGCATTTAGTTATCCAATAACTACTTCGGATTTTCTAGAAGCATCTTTTGAAATTATTTACTCTCCAAAAGCAGTCAATTTCCAACTGTCCCTGAGGCAAAATTAGCAAAATATATCCAAGGGTAGGTTCGAACTATTTAACAAATTTACAAAAAATATGCATTTGTAGGCTTGTCCAAAGTAGGAGCTTTTTTCTTTTTCTGCTTTCTTTTTATTTACTATAACCACAAATGCTCTTTCGGTATGTGAATACATTACATACTAGCCTGAACTGAGGGGAAGGCAAGTGCATTATGTCGATGGAGCAGGAGCATCGCATATCTCGGAAATGGAGTAAAGCCTGCAAAATTATAAAAAAAAAATGTTTTAAAGGGAAATCCAAGTTTTTCACAAATCAAGAAAACAAAAATAGAGATTTAACACAACTAGTTAATATGATTAACAATGCAACCATGAACAAAACTCCTCGACTCAAACTTCTCTATATCATTAACTAGGACAAAAAAATTCTGGCACCCACTACTGGTGCCAACAAAAGACAGGCCTTAGAAAATGAATAACCAGAGACGAAGTGCTAAAAATCAGCAAATAAACCCAAATAACTGAACTCTACAATGTTCCACAAGTTTCTCCCTACAGTTTCTTGCATCTGAAAGAGAAGATTATAGCAAGTCTCCAAGTTGTAAAAGGCACCTGGATTCTGATTGGCAAGTTTCTGAACAATATAGTGGAATCACATGTCTATGCAAATACATATTTTCAGAAAACAAAAGTCGTGAAAGCATTGTCTGCAAGAAAGTACAACAATTGAAGCTTAATTAAATAAGAAATTGCTTAAGGTGTAAGAAGACTCAATTTGGTAAATTTTGTTTAAAGTCGTAATACAAATCAAGAGTCATGGATAAACCTATTAGTTGACTGACAAAATTATATAAAACAAATATGTTTGACACACATTAACCAACTATTGAAGAAGGTATTTGCTGCATGGTAGTATAAACCGGTGGTCCTGTTGGGACTCTCAAGGTAAATTGAAATGCATGCCATCAAGAACCAAGGCAATGGTGGATTCCTCTTAGGGAAAAACAGGTGACATACAACTTACAGAAAAAAAAGCAAAGAAACAAAAAAAAAAAAAAAAATAAGGATAAGGTTAATGGAAAATGACAGGTATAGCAATTGAGAATAAACATGTTTAAGAAGATTAAAAAGCTAGGTAATGTAACAATCACAAGACAAACTGAAAGCAAAGAAACAAAAACAAAAAAAGGATAAGGTTAATGGAAAATGACAGGTATAGCAATTGAGAATAAACATGTTTAAGAAGATTAAAAAGCTAGGTATTATAACAATCACAAGACAAACTGAAAATCAAAGTCAAAACAATTCAGCTAAGAAAACAAAGAAAATGTACTGAGAAATGTCAAAAACACCAATATCAAAGACTCACCTTCATAGATGGAGTGCTTTGGTAATATGCCATGTTGAAATAATGTAGGACAACTTAATGTGAACCTGAACTTGCAGCACAGTAAGTTGATGTATTGCTGTCATTCAAAGGGCTGCTACCACGGGTGTTTTCTGCAATACTCTGGTTATTGGGCTCTGTGACAGATGAACCCTCTAAGTTATTTGGTATAGAAGCTGTGGTGGCTCTGCTATTTTGTCTGGTTTCCAGGCGTTCCATCATACTTGATACTCTAGCAATTCCTGCATTTACTTCTCTCTTAACTTCAGTACTGAGATCTGCCATGGATGTGCTCCTAGAGAAAAACCTCTCCCTCCAACCTCTTGTGCTCTTTGAAATAGAGTCTTTGTATCTTAAATAAACAAAGTAGTATCATATAATGTTCCATAACCAACTATAAAGCAAATGGGAACCACCGAAAAAAGCATATCAAACAAAACATAGAATAGGATATCTTTCAGTGGATGGAGCAGGGTATTTTCTATGAAGATTTTTTTTTTTCTTTTGATCACATTTTTCAGTATGAATTATACCTCATTGACACTGCATTGAATCGAGATTTTAAAGACTCTGAAAATGATTGGAATTCTGAAGGTCCTGCTCTGTCTTGGTTTACTGGAGAAGAGTGACCAGCAGAACTCCTATATGAAAATGATCAATAGAACAATGTTTTAGATATAAAGTGAAAATAAAAATTTGAACAGCTGAGACAAGCAAGTTGAGAATCAAGTTGTTAATGAAAAAAATACCGATTGTTAAAGGATAATCCAGATTGACTGGATCCAAGAGTGGTAGATCCAGATGCTGATGAAGGAATTTGCCCATCTTGTACAGGAGATAATTCTGGAGTTTGATTAGATGGTTGTTCCCCTAGGACTGTAAGAGGAGCAGAAGGACTAGCAACAGTAATTGCAGGAGCCTGCTCATTTTCCCCTCCCCTCTGAGCTAGAGAAGCAGTAACGGCACCAGCAGGTGCACTGGGATGAGTAGAGAATACCAAGAACTGTGGTCGACCCTGACCACTGGCCCTACTGCGCTGTCCTTCCCTTCGGGCAATATGATGAGCTCTCCCCATAGCAGCAGCAGCAGCCAAGTGCTGTATTATACGTTCTTCAAGTTCAGCACCATTTGAACCTACTGGTAACTGCATTAGCAGGAAAATAGAAAATCAAATCAGAAAAATAGGACAGGCCCCAATTTATGTGGTATAAAGTTAGCTAATTGACCAAAAGGAAAATAGAATCATGATTCCAGGCTTCCAGCTAGTAAAGATGCAGCACCGACATGCTGTAATTCAAAATCTCCTAGGGTGGGATGATGAAATATCGTGGCATTTCGTGGTGGATTAAACCTAAAGGTCCTCTCCCGTTCTACTGCCTCAAGCAGTTCTTGACTACACAACAAAGACGGCAAATAGTTCCCATCAAAACCACTAGTTGTAAAATTAATTAGAAATGAAAACATTGAATTGAATGAGATGAACCTGGTTGGATCCTTAAGAGTGATGGGTTGCCAACACATGGGACACTGTGAGCTTCTCTGACACCTACAAGAAAAATGAAGCGGAATTTCAATTTCTTTCCCTTTTCTTCTAATCAGTAGTTTGCAAGGACTCTTCTAAACAGATAGAGTACCAAAATTGGACATAAGGAGACAGCACAAATTTTTCTCATTTTACACCATGTTCTTTTTCTCATTGTTCTTCACTGAATAAAATATTTTTTTGATAGGTAATAGAAATTTTATTAATTAAAAATCACAAATCAAAGGATACACAGAACAAACTCCCCACAATGAGGCCCAAGGTGTAGCCTCTAAACTGAATTCAATATTTTGACACCAAAAACAGATTAAATTCTACCTTTACCGCTATCACCCAATGTTGGTGAATATAAGATTGTTATATCCACTTATGCCCTATCACCCAATGTTGGTTTCAGCTATCTAGGATCTTAGGAGGGGTGGAGTGGATATAAACCTAACCCGTGTCATTTTCTGCACAAAGTGGCCACTCATTGTCTAACCCATATAATGCTTATTATTGAATGGAAACAATTAACTTCTGCATTATCAAAATCTAGCACTAAGCCCATATTATATAAAATCAGATGTTTCCGTACCTATTTGCATTCATATTTAACAGAAAATTGTAGTAAATGCCTTGGAAAACCCAACACTGTCCAGGCTACATAGCAGGGACAATACAAAACAGCCACAGGCTGGAGGCTGAGCATACAAAAGCACAAAAAATGAAAGAAGTGATTACAAATGAGCCCCAGGACCTGGCTTCCCCAAATAAACCCTTGTCTACTTATGCCAGATCTTGCCAAGCTATCGGCTAGGGTTTTATCCATCCTAGGAAACCAGTTAAACAAGCAGTTCAATCTACTTCTCAAGGATTTGGCTTCCCTTACCAAAGCTCTAAACCTCCAAGGAGATTCTGCTTTGGAGCTTATACAAGTAAATAACAACTTGGCAATCTCCTTCAATAAGCACATAATGCAATCTCCTGTGTTGCTTAATATTATGGATCCTCTTTCATCTTACCACTCCTTCCACTCCAGACTAGAGGGTTGCCTAAACAACACCCATCAATAGTAAGTTTGAGTCTTCCGACCTCAAGGGTATGCCAAATAATCAACCTTGTTGACTTTCCAAGTTTTTTTTTTTTTTTGGATAGATAGTGACTTTCCAAGTTATTCACTAAGAATAATGTGCCAACCTCAAGACATGATGATCCAAATAAAGTGGATTAGAAGATCTGCAAACAGTATGGCTGATGGTTTAGCCAAACAAGGAATTCAGAGACAACCCATGTTTTTTTTTGAAAGGTAAAAAGAAAATTTTATTAAAAATAAAAGACCAGGTCAAATACAAGCACCTTCCAGGTGTTAAGATAACACCTGTCCAACATACATCAAAAAACAAGATCAAGAGCACAAAAATAAGAGGAAACAAAGTAAAGACCCCGAACACAGCATCTTAACCATCTCCTTCAAACAGATCATCTTGCTCATCTCAATCCTTCTCCTATACCACTGATTTCTCGACCTGTCTCTCCCGTAACCCCCTAACCTTCCAAACATTCAGAGACAATCCATGTTCTGGGATGTTTTGTAAATAGTGGGATAGTTCTTCTTGGGCTTCTTGTTTCTGCCCACGACTTCTTGTTGTATATGTTCTTTTTAATCTAATGAATCAATTTTTGTGTTTCTGATAAAAAAAATAATAATAACTTGCCAACCTCTAAGGTCATCCATCCTTACACCAGCAAACTCTTCACATACTAAAATCCAATGTGCAACTCTTTAATAAGCTCAGTTAGATTTTCCATATCAAGTTCGTCCCCCAAACACCCCACAACATTTATACTATGCCATAACAACTTCATTCTTTTGGTTTCTCATTCCAAAATATCTTGAGAGAACAGTTCAATAGTATTCTGTGGAGCAGCCCAACTTCTAACAAATAAAGATAAGAAACAACTCCAAATTCAGCTAGAGTAAATAACAAGAAAGAAAAAGATGGTTAGAACTTTCTCCACTAAAAGCACACATTGTGGGGATAAGAACCATGGATTTCTTTGCCTTTGGAGTCTATCACACATGTTAATGAATTAAAGAGAGGTAGGGGAGGACCGATCAACAAAACTAGAAGGCACTTTTCAGCTTTCAGCCAGTTCTACCAACATCATCGTCAATGCAACAACATTTCAAACTAGCAGCCTAAACAAGCATCAATAATTTGACCTGCTGTCTGGACCAAATCGGATATTTCTACTACTAGTAATGAAAAAAAAATTTAATGCCTATTTAAAATACATGAGGAAACTGGAAACCATTGACAAGGCCGAGTTTTTCATAAAAGTTATTTACCAGTTTGCTTAATTCTACAACTCCATGCTTATTATGCTGTGTATAGATAGATTAAAGAAACCATATAAATTAATATTGTTTTGAACCCTTGCATTCATTATAAAAAACTATATATATAAGGACTCAGAGTACAAGGAATACCAAGATTTTTTATTAAACAATGGTCACCAAGAGTAGCAAACAAAAACAAGCTCCATTTACTCCTCATAAAAAGAGAAATTTAAAACTCCTAGAAAATTAGGCAAATAGAATTCTTAACAGTGATTGTATAACCTATGCCAAATATTGGTATAACATTCCCTCAATTTTTGTTAGGGGAAAATGGTATGGAGCAGAGTAAAATTAATGAAGCCTCCCATTGTTTGTTTCATCAATTACAATAAACCATATCTTTGACCTTTCCAATGGAAAAAGAGAGATTGGATGGAACCAATTTGCACCCAAGTCAGGAAGGAAAATAGCAACTCATCAATTCATGCTCTAGTCTACCAGACCATGAATAACAGACTTCATTGATAGTAGTTCAACAGGGGAAACTTCTTTTTTCTTGTTGATGAATAACTGAAATTTTCATTAAATAAATATAAAAAAGTGTGTATATTCTGGCACCGGAGCACCCCTGTGCTGAATGCCCTCTTTACATTGTGCCCTTACACCCCTGTTCTACTTCACAAATATGCTAGTCTATCAGAACATGAATAACAGACTTCATTTATAGTAGTTCAACAGGGGAAACATCTTTCTTCTTTTGATGGATAACTGAAATTTTTATTAAATACACATTAAAGTGTGTATATTCCAGCACCCCTGTGCTGAATGCCCTCTTTACATTGTGCCCTTGCACCCCTGTTCTACTTCATGGATATGTTAGAGAAAATTTACAATTGACACATGAAAATCTAACTTCTAATTGCTCTTTGCTTGGCAAGTGAATCTGCTAAACAGTTTGCAGATATTTTGACCCAACAAAATGACAGAAATGTAGCCTCTAATTCACTTACAGTGTCTTTATCTCCATTATTATGTACCTGTATTCCCATATTCCCCTCTTTGTTAGACAGTGCATTACTACTTTTGAATTTCTTTCCACAATAATGTTCCAGAAATTCATGTTCCTCCCTAGCATTAATCTCTAAAGTACATCCATTAACTCCACCCTCAAAGAGTCACACACTCCTATCATCCCAACAACAAAGCAGTGATGTTTCCCATAACATCCCTATATGTAATGCTCCACTTATACCTGATGATCCTGGATTCGCCAGAGCGCAGCCAGCCAGCCATCAAAGTTCATCAGTTTCAGTTGATCTCAACTCAATGGCCTCTGTTGCTCCTAATTAACTGACTTAAACTAGAAACGCAAAATGATGCCTAAATACATAGAATATGTGGAAATTGAGAAGGAAAAGGTCCGTTTTTCATCTTTGTTCTTTTCTTCTGGGGGCAATCAACAGTCTGATCAACCTAGATTGTAGGGAAAATACCAAAATCACTATATAAAAGCATTATAGGTGGAACAATTAAATTCAACAGCAAAAAGTCACAACTAAATTCTAGGAAGACATCAATCACAAGTGCACATCAAATAAGAAAAAATGAATTTCAGACACAGTCTAATGTGCCTGAAAAATTCTATCAGTTGCAAGCACAGGATGAGGAGGGGAGAGTAATTTTATATTATTGAAGTAAACACTCAGATTGTACCATTCGAGAATGCATTGAAGATGAAACTCATGCTTGCAGCTAGTGACCTGCACCAACAAAATCGATAAATCGAATAACAATTAATACTCAAGAAGGAAAAAGAAAATTGTGAAAAATAGAAGAGAGAAAAGTCCATGAATAAGGATTAAAGTATGGAGGTAAATGGATTTCACTGAAAACTGATAATCAAATTAGTTACAGTTGAAGGATTGCTGTCACAGAACGCCTCAAGGCAAATACTGCAAGCGTCATCACAGGCATCCTGTATTCCCCCTTCCACGAAAGCAGCAGCGGATGTCAGACTCTCTACCTTCTTAGTCTCATCCATCGCTGAAACCTACAAAATCCCAGAACCCAAAATTAGGTCAGCTAAAGCCTTCCCCATTAAAGCAATGAAGTTTGACGAACACACTGGAAACAAATGAACACCTTCCATATTTTCAATCAAACTCGATCACCATAATCAACCAATAAATTTGCGATGCTGGAAACTTCAGTGAAATTCATTCCCAAATGCAACAAGATAGAAGCCCCTTCGCATAATTGCATCAAAATTCGATCTTCAAAATCAAAATCAACCGATTTTGCAAAATCCGAAGAACCAAATCTTTCCCATGTAGAATTTACAAAAGCGCCCAGAATAACAAGAAGATCATAGATTAAAACACAACAACGATTCAGAATTCTTGTTCACGAAGGCGGAACCAACAGCAAGGAAAATCCCAAGTGTGCCAAAAAAAAAAATAAAAACACGAATCAACAAGCAAAACCGGCACTCTGGGTCCGGGTGATGGGGGGAACCGAAAGCCAGATGGATCTCGAATCGAGAAAACCTGTAGAACGAAAAATAAAAAAATAATAATAAAAAAAATAAAATTTGAAACATAAACACAATTCGGGTTTTACCTCCATTGAAGCTGGTCTCGATCGGGGTTGAGGATTCGAGAAATCGCCCTTGAATTTCAAGACAGAGCTCGAATTCCAGAGAGATATCGCTCGAGATCCATCATAGAGAGAGGGGNGGGGGGATGGGAGGAAACAGAGAGAGAGAGAGACCTATATCAGAGAGAACGAGAGACCAAGAGAGAGATAAGTAGAGATGGAGACACGTCCGTCGCTTGGCACTGATAAAAAAAAACCGGAGCTCTCTCTCTCTGGCAAAGCCTCAAGCCCCTCAACAACATTAATATTTGCTTAGCACAAAAATAATAAAAAATAAAAATCTGATTACATCTCTAACTCTAACGAAATAGATCCGGGTTTCGTCTCCATTTTGACCCTTATTAATTTTAATAGAACATTTTGACCCGTATTTGATGGTTTATTTTACTACTTGTCTTCCTCTCTCTCTCTCATCCCAAATTCTATGGTGATGATCATCATTGTCATGATATGGTGTAAATTAATCTTCACTCTTTTAAACCTAATTTCTTAGTAGAATCAAGTAGGGTTTCTCATTTGATTCCTTAACTATACAAAAATTATAGGGGCCCATCAGCCCCTTGACTAATTTATAACAAGAACGTTTTATTTATGAAATGCATGCAATATAGAGTTACATACATGGAATGTCAGCCCGATCTGGTCCGGTTCAATTGGTTCAACTGGGGTTTAGTTAGTAAAGCAGTTCGGCTCGATTATTATTTGCCTAGCATTTCTGCATTTGTTCCCTGCCTCCATTTGGGGTACATAGAATTCACAATAAGAATCTTATTTTTCTTTTTGTTTACAAAATGCATGTTATGGAGTAAGGCTGCATAAGATGTCAAGTGAGGTCCTTGTAGGTTTTATTTTCTAACATGCCCCTTCAAACGAAAGCCCATTAGGCTTGAAGTGTGAACAAGCATAGGCCCATTCATACCTTGTGCTGAAACTTAATTAATTATAATGGGGGTGGCGAGTGTGAAACACTAGACCACTTGATCAAAATTGCTCTTATTAGGAATGTAAACGGAGTGAATTTGAATTGAATCATGTTATAATCGAATCCGAATTCGATTTACAAAACTGATGATTCAAATTTGGTTTGATATTCGACGGGTACTCAAAAGTAAAAATTGAATTCGAATTCGACTTAGATAATCGAATATTCGATTAATTCGAATTCAATGGATTAAACCTAATTCTTGAAACCAAACAATCGAGCACTCTCATTCCCTTTGAATGAACTACAAAGAAAGGAGAAAATATCTTGCTTCATTTTTAACGATCTATGGAGACAAACCTGATTCTATGAATGATGAAGATAGACGAAGAACAAGGGGAAAAATAAAAAGAAAACAAAAAACTAATAAAATCTAAAACAAATAATAAGTCTTCGATAACGTAGAAAAAGCAAGAGAGATGAGGGAGGGGAGAGAGAGAGTGAGAGAGAGAGAGAGAAGAGAAATGTGAAAATATCTTGTTTCATTTTTAACGATCTATGGAGACAAGCCTATCTCTATGAATGATGAAGACATACGAAGAACAAGGGAAAAAATAAAAAGAAAACAAAAACCTAATCAAATCTAGAACAAATAATAAGTCTTCGGTAACGTAGAGAAAAAAAAAGAGATGAGGGAGGAGAGAGAGAGAAGAGAAAGACTTTTACAATCTTTTAGTATGTTGTAAAATCAATGAATAATAGTTGCAACTGTGAATGCAGCACCTTTGCTTCACCAATACATGACTTTCGTTGCCTTTAATATATGCTATTCATATTTTTTAAATTTCTTATGAAAAAACTAGTAAAACCATATGATAGGGGAAAAAGATAGAAGGGAGGGAAATGGGGAACTTCGAAACTGGCTAAAGGTCGGAGATGAGATGGGGTAGTAGTAAAGGGCAGAGATGAGACGGAGTAGGTTGTTTCGGTAGAAATAATAATTTTTTATATCACCTGTAAAAAGTTTGTACTGAGTGGTCTTATCATGTCAGGAGTAATTAATTCTCCTTTTTTATATAATAACGTATCTAATATCAAAAAGTTAAGACACTTTGGCCGAATTTTTAAGATATTTGTTTTTCTTTTATAAAAAGTCATGACACTTATAAATCATATATTATATTTATTTATAATAATTAAATTTGAATAATTATCGAATCGAATCAACGTATATTCAAATTCAATTCGATAATTTAATCGATACAAGATGTATATTCGAATTTGACTGCACACTATCCAAACTATTCAAATTTGATTATTTTCGATACCTATTTTGATGAAGTACAAAATATGCCCATCAGTAGATGAAGCACAAAATTTGTCCACTCCCCCATGTTTGATGAGGTGGCTCAGATTGGGTTCAGTCTGCGGCGCGAGTAAAGTTGTTATGTCGAGCTGTGAGGCCAAGCTGGGGGGGCCTAAGTTGAGAGCTGAAAGGAAAGAGAGGTCAAAGTGCCTGGGTAAGTCTTTACCCAGGAGGACACCCCGATGCTTAAGTCAGTGAGTAGTTTTTCCAGAGAGAGTGAGAGAGAGAGTGTGAGAGCTTATATGCGCATACCTTTTGGAGTGGCCCTGGGGTTTTTTATAGCTACCTGAGGTCCAGGTGCTGTTGGGCAACATCTCAAAACTTCGTTCGGAGTTGTTTCCTAAATTCTGGGGTGTATTGGTCAGCCGATTGCTAGATCCGTGCAGTGGTCACAGGTCACCTGCTGGTCTTGAGGCGGTCAACTTTGTGGACCGTTCCYTGTGTTGCGGTTATAGCACCTACGCAGGCGTTGCCCACAGGACTGTTTTGGAAGAGCTGGGGCTGTCAGAGGGTTGAGCTCGCCCTAGCTCGGCCACGTACCAGATAATGACTACCACATGTCACTTTGGCGAGCTACTCTGCTATGCTGGACGTTGTGGGTCGAGCTAGCTCTAGCTCGACCACGTACCTGATATTGACTGCCACGTGTTGAACTGGCGAGCTGTCTTGCTGAATGGGATGCTGTCAACGTCCACGTGTCCACCGTCAAGTAGGTTGACCAAAATGCCTCTCATCAGAATTTGAATTCAAATTCAAATACCATTGACACCCCTAGCTTTGATACCACCTCAAAGAACCATCCAACCTAAAAGCTTAAGCTGTTAAGTGAGGTCCTTGAATAGGTTTTGTTCTCTAACAAGATATATCCAAAAATCCTGCAATGAAGTTATTCCGGTAAATACGAATTAAGATGGGTCATTAAAAGCCAACTTAGTAAATATTTGCTCAATTGGGCCGAATCTTGTTCGCATCAAGACCACCAAAACTTAGATTGAATGTTTGATGGAACCAATAGATTCAAGATTTTCTGTTGTAATAGAGTTGAAAAAAAATTATAAAGGAGGAGTTACTTGAGTAACAGATTGCAGAACTGTGGTTCTACCCTCAAGTGAAGGAACTTTAGTTCAACCAATAATGAGTTTATATACTTGGAACATATAATAACCAACCATTAGAGTGATTCCCATGCAATATTTATCTGTTGAACTGAATTATCTAGCTTGAAATAAATTTCAACTATATATATAATTTTCAAAACATATGGTTATATTTAAATGACATAAATAATTCATTCTGAATCTCTCATGCCTTTGCTGTGATGAACTTTAATTGAGCTCCAAAATTCTGAATTTAACTGATATTGATACTATGTCCAGTGATTGTCGAAAGCACTTGAGCTTTCTATCTTTCAAATTATTCAAGTCCCTTTAAATTAGTTAATTGACAGTACAGTACTGTATTACAAATAGAAAACTAGACGAACAACAATACCATTATGGCTTTCAATTTATTATCTTTTGACCCTTGTTCTAGACCTCAGAACTCTTTATCTGCATCTAGTTTCTATAACCCTTTATTCCACCAATATAGTAACTGACTTCCATCATTTCTTTTCTGAAACTTGAATATGGAAACCATTAGGGAGCGATATTCCAGGAGTTCTAACTATTTCTCCTCCCTTGATTGTTGTCCACCTGTACTTTGTGACCAAGAAATGAAGAAACATCTCCATCAACATCTTGTTAAACTCTGCTCCTGCGCATATTCTCATCCCTCCACCAAAAGGATTGAAATTCTTTGACCAAGTGTTTGATCCACAGCCCTTTTTTTGAAGAGGGAAAAGATATGTTTATAATTAAATATAAAATATGAAACTGATCGAGACAGTATCTGTATTAACAACCAAATTTGAGCCAAGTATGAAGAAATACACAAACATACCTCCCATCTCCATGGATTGTAGGTAAGGGGATCTTTATACTTGCTAGGGTCGACATGAACAGTTAGTGGACAGAGCATGATTGTCCAGCCTTTTGGGATTGTATATCCTACACAACAAATATATATATATATATATATATATATATATATATATATATATATCTATATCTATAATCTATAAAAAGTATGAATAGGTGTGGTTGGCTTCTGGAATTTTTACTAGACTTAAATATCCCATTTCTAAGTTTTGAAGGGCCATCAAATCATTCAACTCGGGAATGCTTTTGACCATTTTTTAGGTTTTTTTCTATTTTTTTTTATTTTCCTATCATAGCAGGCTGTCCGTTCGTCCCGAGAACCGGACCCAGAATATCTGATTTTAAAAAAGCTTGGATCAGAGGTAATAGCGCTGGGAGATGCAACACGGGAAACAACATCGCCAATCACCAATTCACCATTACAAACAGCCCTATCAATCCTTTGCCTTAGGGTGTGTTTGATTGCAGTGCAAATTTATTTGTATTAGTACGAATGTATGGGAGTGTAAATGTAAAAAAATGCAAATTCTTGTTTAATTTTGTTATGGATTTTACATTATTCTACCTCATGTCTTAATTTACTTGAAACAAAAATACTTTATTTGTTGTTTTGGATTTTACTTTATTCGCCATGATTTTACATGAGTGCAAACTTATTTGCGTTGCAACCAAACACAGCCTTAATATATTAACCCAGCCCTCCTGTTAGACGATGTGAATTGATTTCCATTAAAACCCAAATCCAAAAAACCACAACACATTGGAAGTGAGATGCGCTACGCCCAACAACCACCCTCCCTCCCCACATTTCAGAAGTCACCATGTTGAAATCAC